CCCCCACCCCCAAAAAAAAAAAATCATCAGAGCCCGACCATCTTTAAGAGTTGATAGGACTCAAGGTCCCCGAATACTCGATACGACTCTGAATCTAATCATACGTGTACGGAATACACTCCCCAGATCGCAGAATTGCTCTGTCAACATGGGCACCATGCGAGAGCCAAGGGACACTGGACTTCAAACGGCCCAGGTCGAAACCGTGATTCCCGAAAAGAGCCTTAATCCCCAGATGATGAACGAAGGCGAGCTTCAGAGTCCATATCAACTTGGGTGGAAAACTCTCTTGGCCTTGGTGACCCTGTCAATGGGAAATGTCTGCGCTGCCTTGGCAAACACGGTATTCCCAACTCCAACTACATCGCATGATTTGTGACCCAAGCTGACAAGAACAAGACCAATACAACCATTAAATTTCAAGTCGCGACACTAGCCAAGACGCCAGGCGATTCTGCGCTTGCTTCGTGGATTTCCAATGGCAATTTTCTCCTTACTCTCGCCATGGGTCCCATTTTTGTGAGTTACCTTGACAGTTTATACATCTGCCTCCCCTCCCTATGCTGAATGACACAAGGGGTCTCTCGGTGATCGGCTAGGAAAGAAATGGTTTCTCGTGGGAGGCGCTCTGCTCGGCGTTGTCGGGTCCACGATCTCGGGATCGGCCAACAGGATTGCGGCCATAGTGGGAGGGAACATCCTTACTGGCATTGCAAATGCAGGCTGTGTAAGTAGTTACCTGGTTTGCCTCTCGAGGTGAATGAATGATGCGTTTTGCTCACGTCGTGGGTAGATTGTATCTATCTCGTGCATCCAAGAAATCACACCCAACAAGCATCGTCCGTGGGCAATGGGCGTCTCTCAAGCTATGGCCAGCGCGTTTGTCGTTCTAGGAACATTCCTCGCCGCCGCATTTGTTAGAGATAATGTTGGAGGCCTGGGAGGATGGCGATGGGCTTACTATTTCAACGGAATCATATATGGTCTCACAGCAGTGGCTATCGGGGTAAGCTACTTCCCACCTCGGCCCGTACTCGGTCGGCATCAAGTTCGCAGGGAGATCATCACCGGCGTGGATTACCTTGGTATTCTTCTCATGGCAGGTTCCTTTGCCTCCCTTATCACTGGCCTTACCTGGGGCGGCACCACATACCCTTGGGACTCGCCCCGAATTATTGCTACGCTCACGGCAGGATGCGTGGGACTTGCCTTCTTTGGGCTGTATGAAGCATTCATGGTGAAAGAGGGCATCCTTGATCACCGTCTGTTCCAGACAAGGAACTTTCCCATCTTGATGCTTGTGTGCGCAATTGATGGGATGCTTCTCCTGGGCGTCAATGTTGCCTTCTCCCAGGAGGCATACGATCTGTTTACACAGGATGCAGTTGGCATTGCTACTATTATTTCACCTTACCTTATCCTATCAACCTTTGGTTGCATCCCGGCTGGATGTATCATGGCCTTTACGAGGTCATACCGAGCTTTTCTCGTTGCTGCGTTGAGTTGGTGTGCGCTTTTCACAGGTTAGCCTCTTGGCTCGGTAGTCGTTACTAGCAACCTTGCTAATTATACTCTGATTAGGGCTAATGGGTCTGGTTACCGCTGGAAGAAAGAGCTGGTCGTATGCTTTTTCAGCCCTTTTCGGTGCCGGCACTGCCGTGACGACGACCATCCCAGGTATGCTTTTCCCTTTATTTGAGCTAAGCTATGAAATCTATACTAACGGCACATACAAAGTCACCGCTCTTGCTCTGTCTATCCCATCATACCTGATGGGAACAGCGGTTACAGTTTCGATTTCCTGCAGAGCTCTCGGGGGCATTGTCGGCATCACAGTCTTTACATCAGTCTATAACAACAAATATGCTTCATATGTTGGTCCGGAGATCGCGGCTGACTCGCACGCCGCCGTTGATACCGTGGCAAGTGCCAAGGCTTGGAGAGACGTGTGGATTGTTATTGCTTGTTTGGTCGCCGTAAATGCGGTTGTGGCTTGTTTTTTGAAGAGCGTCAAGTCGATGATGAATGACCATGTCGAGTCTTCGCTGGAGGATAGCAAGGTCAGACGGGAGCAGAAGATCTAGATGCTGGGATCATGATAGGTTGTGGTCTATATTCGGTAATTTCAAGGCATGGTTAGCTACGAGAGCTAGCTAGATGTTATTCGCGAAGCTGGAGATCGGGGCCCTTGATTTTCTTTCGTTGGTATCTTTCTGTCAACTTTATTGACTACTATTAACCGGTGCATGACGAATATACGCCTTTATCTTATTATCAACATTTTGAAAACTAGTGCAATATGCTACAGTTGGCCGTGAATGTCAGATGCAGATTAAGAAGCCAGCTTTTGTGACAATCTGCCTAAACGGGCGCGAGAGGCTTGTAGAATTCAATCAAATCATCACTTGAAACCCATAGAGACGTCATGTCTCCATAATATTAACCTTGTTATTCGACTAGAACCATACAGTGTGTCTGAAGCACGCTGTAAACGAACATGAGGGAGTATAATTGCTATATAATTAGAGCTCATTTTTTTCTGTTTGATACGCGCGCCCATTTTGAGACTGGTCATGAACATGGAACAAATAATGGGGTGTTCGTCCGCGCAATCCAGTTGGTATCCAACAGTCTACCAGCGCCGGAAATCCCGGGGGCCCAGCAAGACCCGAGAACTCTTTAGTTCTCGGACGGCTCGGAACTCTCCTGAGCTTTGACTTGTGCAGATCGTGCGTGCGCTTGGGGTACGGGTCCTCTATCCGGGTTAACTGATCTGGCGCTATTGCGTAAGGCAGCCGGGACTGGGTGCTTTTCAATGTTGTCAAGTCTCCAATGTTAGCCGTTACGCGGCCTGGGTGCAGGCATAACTGCCGGTAGGGTCAATGCAAGGTGCCGGGGCTTCTTGTGCTCTCGGTCCTCTTCAGCTTGCAACATTGGTTTGTGACGAACCCATGGCCAGACAGCAACATAAATGGCTGTCATGTCCCTGGCGAGAAAATTGAGACCATTATCTTTCAAACAATCCACCTCGCCTTCTTCCATCTTCTCCACTATAATCATGAAGCTTGTTTTCATCATCACGATGCTGGGCAGATCTGCCTTTGCTACTACCCTCTTGAATCACACGCAACACTCTCCCACAAACGTCACTTCCTACCCGACTAGTGTTGGCCATGCGGTTTCAGACCTTAGCAGGACACTGAAATTCTATCATGACCTCCTCGGGCTTGAAATCCTGTCTCAAGATTCGACGCCTAAAGTCGACCATGCCTATGGGCAGCTCACAGCCTCGAACGCCGTAGCATACAAGACGGGCATTCTCGCAATCCCGAACCAGTCATGGACGCTAAAATTGACCCAGTACATAGGGGACAATATTACACAAGTGGTCAAGCAGCGTGAGCAGGACCCAGGAGCTCCTGGCCTCACGTTGAGTGTGAAAAATGCCACCCAAGTGAACAATGCCCTGAGGGGTGCCAATGCCACAACTCTTAACGGGCAACCCGTGCCCGAAGGCACCGGAGAGGGAACCACCTCAACGGTCTGGGTCTATGATCCTGACGGGTACATGGTTGAGCTTGTGCAGCGCAGTGGCCCTTCGGATTATTTCACAGTCTCCGCGCCAAATATCACAAATGGCCCTGGCATGAAGTACGTTATCCGAGGACAACTTGATCTGACAATGGCAAATGTCAGTCAAGCCTTGTCATTTTACAGGGATATTCTGGGCCAGAATCTCTCAGCCGGATATGAGCCCCTCGTTGGCCCTAATGAGCATGCAGAGGTGGGAGGTATCGGGTCTGTCTTTAACATCAGCTCCAATGTACTTTGGGCGGCCGTGACGGGAAACTGCGATCTGGATACTCGCTGCGAGTATTTTGAATATGACGATCCAACTCGGAGGACAATCGCTTATCCTGCTCAAGTTCCTGGCATTGGCATGACTACCTATTCCGTGCGGAATCTTAACAAGCTTCTACGGCAGGTTCGATCTGCAAACCTCACCGTTGTCACCAAAGGAGGATCCCCTGTCCATATAGACGGGGGGAGCAGTATTTTGATTCGCGATCCAACTGGCTATCTCGTCCGGCTTGACGAAAAGTGTTGAGTGCTTTAAAAATAGGGGCTCTCAGGGACAATAACATGAGGCATTTCTAGCTATCTTGTACGAGAAAATTATACTATTTATCTTGAAAGAAATCGTTAATAAATTCAACCCTATGTAAATTGCTTAATATCTAAAATGAAACGTGAAAAGTATTTCTTACGAAAAAGAACGCGCTCTAATCGAATAGCATCTATACACTCTTATATTCCGTTAATACACCCACGTAGTTTAAATTCAATTTATTAGTAATATTACAGCTGTAATATAAGCTAAATGGTACTTAATTATTAGTTATAGCGCTTTTTATAATATATATAGCTAATTACGCTAGACTTAATAGAGGTATATATATTAGGTAGATAAAAATCTCTTAAAAACATATAATACGTCTTCAACTAGAAGGTAATTAACAAGAGGTGAGTGGAATCGCGATTCTATACCGCTACGCTAACTAGGCTTACAACTATCACGAAAAACAGCGCGCTTTAATCGAATAGCAACTATACCCCCTTATATTCCGTTAACAGTATTAATTACGTTGCACAATACGTCTAGCTAGATGGGTTAATATTCCGTGAATCCTTCCCGTCCGGCCGTCCAATATTCAAAAAGTCACCGGTCGAGTACAAAACCTCGGGCCTAATCTCTGCGATACGCCACTGCTCATCGACCTTCACATACGTCTGCTGCATCCAGCTCCTCCCATCTGAAATTTCACTAATCTTGCATAACGGATGCATGTAATCCTCGCCTTCCAGCCTCCTCCCATGGCTCGCGAGCTGCTGCCATTCCACCACAATTTCTCCCTCCGTCACCGACTTGAAGTACGGCGCCCCGAGAAGATGTTGCGTGGCCAGGGCTTTCACACCTAAGTGGTTTGGTCCCAGCCATAAATCAACAAAGCCATCTGCCTCGTACTTCTTGCGACCCCATTCAGGCACGACTTTGCTGTAGTCGACAACGATGGAAGGAGCTAGAGAAGCTCGGACTCGAACCTTATCCTGAAAAAAGCATTAGTATATACTCAGAATTTCTCATCAATAGAGTAGGTAGTTGTTACCTTTCGGTCATAGCCATCTACTAACGCGCGCGCACATTGGCAAATAGCAACATAATCCTGGAAAGAGAGAGAGGAGGCAGTGTAAATCTCGAATGCCATTTTTCTTCCCCACAAGATTTTACCCCAGATGCCATGATAACCGCTATTTCCAGGTATTGTCTGTCTTTAAAATAGTCTATGGTGTCCCCGGCTTTGCCGGGCACCAGCTGTGTGGCCCACATCGGGTATTCCGAGGTTACTATCCGGACATCCACTTTTTACTGCACGGACACGGAGTGGCAAACTCGGCATTCTGTGACCCCAGAAGCAGTCCTATAGTGGCAATAAAGGAAACATTGACACCAATAAGATGAAATGACATTCACTATTAGTAGTGACAGATGCGGCAAGAGTATAAAGCACACCCGGTCTTTCTCACCGATTCTGTCGGATTTTCCCATTTCGCATCCAACTCGCCTGAAATTCGTAATGGCAGGCATTCCAAAACCGGACTTCGCACTCCGGACAGGGATCTACCCAGCTATTGACCCAGGGCTCTTTGAAGCCTCTTTGGCCGGAAAAGTTGCACTTGTCACGGGCTCAGGGAGAGGCATCGGAAGAGAAATAGCGCTAGCTCTCGGAAAGTCTGGTGCCGCAGTCGCTATCTCAGCAAGGACTCAAAGCCAAGTTGACCGGACCACGGAAGAAGTGGCTCGTCAAAGCCGGAAAGCAATCGGCGTTGTTGCAGATGTCTGCGTTAAAGCAGACCTAGAGCATCTAGTAAATGAGGTATACTCGCCTGCATCGCGGACCTTGGCTAGTCATGATTAATGATGATCCTTCAGGTTACCACTCATCTAGGTGCTATCGACATCCTCATTTGCAACGCTGGCACAAACACATTCATGCCCTTCCACATGACCGATTCAGAGGAATGGTGGCGCCAAATGGTACTCATGGTCAAAGGGCCTGTTGATCTGACGAGGATGATCCTGCCTTCAATGCAGGAGCGCAACTCTGGCATTATCATCTATACCTCTTCCCGCGCAGCCACGGCCGACCTTCCGTGGACTGCAGCGTACGGATGCGCGAAAACAAGTATTACGCGCTTTGCTGGCGTCTTGCAGGCCGAGCTCAATATACTTCAAAAGGAAACCTTCAAGTTCTCAGAGAACGGCATATCTGTATTCTCTATACATCCTGGTGAAGTCAAGACAAGTCTCCATGAAGTGGCTTTCCCGGAAAAGACTAAGAAGGAGGCACCGTACGTGGTGGATATGATGGACAAGATAGCAAAATCGCATCCCGAGTTTAAGGCAGAGTTGGCAGCGTGGACGTGTGTTTACCTCTGCTCGGGAAGAGGCAAAGCATTAGAGGGCCAGCTAGTTGATTGTACGAGGGATGTTGATGGGGTTAAGGCCTTTGTATCTGCGTCTCCGAGACCACGGGTTGCTAATGCTTGTAGTTGACATAGTAAAATGAATTCCAGCCTAATTCTATCACTATCGAAAGTCTCACTACTTTAAATGATGCTATTCTTGTTAGCGGATCTCAGGTTAATACTGTAGGTAATAAGAAGACTATTTATTACTTCCGAGCCACTTTATATTTTCGCACCGCCCGTGTCGCTTGCGTTAGAAGCCAGGAGAAGCCAGGCATTACCAATAATGGGATAAAGGCGATGGTTCGCCCATAGGTCGATTAAGAATTGTCCGTTTTGGACTATCAACCTGTACTTAGTTTCCTATACCTTTACGCTCAGAGTGCACTCGACGACTTGGATATACTTTTCTTGGTATGGATGCAAGTGCATTAGCTGCTTCCCTCGCGACGTGACCATTATAAAGTGCGGATGGTCTAAGAAGAAGATAATATCGTAGTAGAACGCCCTATTAGCTTTATTAGCTCGGATAACCTTTATAGCACCTCTAGCTAAGTCGTTCTGGTGAGTCGCATTCAAGCATATAAGGAACAAGTGTGAAGCAATTCGAGGCAAACTCACGTATCTACGACCAAGCCTGTATCTGAGCTAGACATAGCGGCACACGTCTAGTCCCGGACGCCTCAATCTGTCACAAGAGTTACTTTAATAAGTTTATTTCCACAGGTTAGCTTGGTTATTTAACTGCTAGCGCTTAAAGAACTTAGCTCCTACTACTAGTGCTTTAGCTTAAGTGAGACCCGACTTTACAAGCAAGTACTTAAGGATGTATACGTGGTACCTTCCCCTATACTTTAGTAAGAATATATATTACTCGTTTAGGGTTATCTTATTCGTATTATATTATCGTGTATAAAGAAGTAAGCTTCTAGGTTTATAGTAACTAGACTACTTACTTATATAACGTATATAACTATTTACTTATACACTTATATTTAACTATAAGGTTCGCGGTAATTAGCGCTACATTTTAAGCGGTAAGTAGGGTTCTATTATAGGTTGGCGCTTAGGCTATTACGTTAGCTATTAAAGCGCGTTAGCTATTAATTATATAAGCTTACTTAATTAAGTAAGCGGTAAAAAAAATTTTTTTTATTAAGGTTAAGAGTTACTTAGCTTAAAAGTAAAAGCTTTTAAGAGTTAAAAGAGAGAAGAAAAAGAGAAAAGAGAGAGAGAGATAAAAGTTACCTATAAGTTTTATAATTAAGTATAAGTTTATATATAAATATATAAGAGATAATAGCTTATATCTTCTCTCTCTTTTTCTTATAATTATAAGAGAAGAGAAAAGGAAAAGAAAGAGAAAAAGAAAGAGAAAGTAATTAGCTTATACCTTAACTTAACCTAATTAATTAATTAATTAATTAATTATTATACTTTATTATAAAGAGAAGAAGGGGCTTAATATACTTTATATAAAAGAAAAGGGTATTAATTAATATATTATACTTCTTAAAATTATTATTATAATAAAGAGAAAGAAAATTAATTTATAAGAAAGAGCTAAGCTTTATTTTAAAAGCTATAAAGTATTAAATAGTATTCATTAATATATTACGCTTTCTTAAATTATTATTATAAGTTAATTTATAAGAAAAAGCTATATTTATATTAAAAGCTATAAAGTATAAAAGGGTATTAATTAATATATTACGCTTTTTAAGATTATTATTATAAGAAAAGCTTTATTCTAAAAGCTATAAAGCGTAAAAGGGTATTAATTAATATATTACGCTTTTTAAGATTATTATTATAAAAAGAGCTTTATTTTAAAAGCTATAAAGCGTAAAAGAGTATTAATTAGTATATTACGCTTTTTAAGATTATTATTATAAGAAGAGCTTTATCTTAAAAGCTATAAAGCGTAAAAGGGTATTAATTAGTATATTACGCTTTCTAAGATTATTATTATAGTAAAGGGAGGGAGAATTAATTTATAGAGAAGAGCTATATTTATACTAAAAGCTATAAAGCGTAAAAGGGTATTAATTAGTATATTACGCTTCCTAAGATTATTAAAATAAAGCTCTTTTTATTTTAAAAGCTATAAAGCGTAAAAGAGTATTAATTAGTATATTACGCTTTCTAAGATTATTATTATAGGAAGAGCTTTATCTTAAAAGCTATAAAGTATAAAAGGGTATTAACTAGTATATTACACTTTTTAAGATTACTATTATAAGAGAGAGAGAATTAACTTATAAGAAAGAGCTTTATCTTAAAAGCTATTTTTAGTATATCTTTTTCTATTAAGAAACGCTTATATACGTGGTTTATTATTAAGCTTATTCTTAAATAATTAAAAAGAACGCGTAATTAAGTAAGAATTAAAAGAGAGAGAGGGAAGTATAAAGAGGTTATTTAAGCGAGTAAGAGAAGACACGCGCGCACGTATATATATATATATACGTGCGCGCGTGTCTTCTCTTACTCGCTTAAATAACCCCTTTATACTTCTCTCTCTCTCTTTTAATTCTTACTTAATTACCCGTTCTTCTTAATTATTTAGGAACCAGTGCTTCATCTCACACCAGCAGCACGTATTCTCGGAGTAGCAAGCGCTCCAGAGGATCTCAATCTCCAATAAAAATGTGGCCTCTGGAAGGACCTCTCGGCCATAAGCTTATGCGGGCGAATCAATTCGGCCATCACGTTCCGGCAGTTCAGGAGCTCATTGACCAGTTTGATGCAGTCAACAGAGGACGCTCCATCATGCCCAAATCTCTCTATCAGAGCCTCAGAGATGTTGGCGTGGGAAGATTATATGATGACATGTTTTTCGAGCAAGACACCGCGGCAGATAGGCCTTGTGATAAGGACTTGGTTCGGTATGCCCAGCGCATCGCTCAACATTCAAATACTTGCGCAAGCCAGCTGCAAGATGAGGGAGCATGGAACAACCTCGTGCATTCCCGCTTATTAGACTTGTTTGTTCATGACATGCAAGACGGACCAGACCATGGTATAATTGACTTTCTGCCTTGGTAAGCATGGCACTTGATGGAACTACGGGAAATTGTCCCTAACCTTTCTAGTTTAACAACAAACATGAACCTCAGTTATCATCGCTTCAGCGAGCCGACCAGCCGGGTTGACTACATTATCCGCATACTGCACGAGTCTCAGGATGATGATGTAGGAGACCATGAACCTCTCCAGTGGTTTGACTCTAACAGGATGCCATTATTGAATTGGACTACCGGCCAGTTACTCCCTATTGCCTTCAGTATCGAGACTAAGCGTTACGGTGGTGGTGTTGCGAAGGGAGAGCAACAGCTAGGTATATGGAACGCTGCGCAATGGGAATTCCTTATATCAAAAGCCGGAGAAAAAGCTGTCAAGGAGCTTGACTTCATTCCGGGCGTTGTGGTAGAGGGGCATACCTGGTCTCTTGTTATCACTACAAGGCACCTGAACAGAACGGTATGTAAGATATTCTTTCTCTGACACGTAGATTTTGCTGACTATCATATAGAATGTTTTCCCGGGCATTCAATTTGGAAACACGCACTCGATTATTGGTGTATTCCAGGTTATTGCCGGTCTGCGAATACTACGCACCTGGGCTATAGAGACGCTCTGGCCATGGTACAAAAAATACCTGCCGGGTATAGGCCAACCTAGTGCAAGGGACTTGGTAACGGGGGTAGGACTTAATGAGAACCGACTAATTTGAAGCTAGTATTAAAGCAAACATATAGCAGATAATTACAGATGTTTTACAAGGGATTTAGTTCGTTTGATGGTAAGGGTCGGGTTCAATTTATGTGGATATGTCAGGAGACCAATCGGTTTCCACGGCGCGTCTCAAATTCAACAGGGACGCGTGATTGCGTAAAGGTCTTCCCCCCATAACTGCACACATTAACAAAGACATTGTAAACATGCATCCATTCGTTTATCTACTACTACAGGTACAGGTTTCTATTGTCACCCATGTTTTCGACAAATCCGGCTTTGAATCCTTGTATAAGATGACCAGTAAGGATCTTAGTATCCTTGCTTTTTCATGTTTTGGTAACATAATGCGTGTTTTTACCCTTTTGCTATCCGGTCCTTTTGCCGTTCGCTGTAAATCACTCTTTCAATGCATTTAGATCTTACACTAAGGCCAAGTTCCACCGCGTCGGTGTTAGCAAGAGTCGAGTGTATAATAATAAGTCCTCGGTTGCGTGCCGCACTAACTCAGTCCCTTATATGCACTACATTATTGGCCCCCGTTAATGCATCTCCCGACTCAACCACCATATCCAGCAGCTTGCACCCGCAGCCCTTACATGCACCATCATGCTCCGAGCTGCCGCTGATTGGCAATTGCGCAAATGCTCTGCTCGCCGAAGTAGCCGAAGTTTAGCGCTTGAAGTAAATGTTCCGCTAGATCTGGCTGATAGCTAAGAGAAGTCGTGTATAGAAGTCGACGGAATAACCGCTTGGCTAGAGCATATGCAACGGCGAGGATTATTCTCGTCGTCGCTGCTGGACTAAATCATGGGCTGGTTGCCGCCAGCATGTTACTGTTACCCGCGACATAAAACATAGATATCTGAGGTATTCGGAATCAAGTTTTGGTAATGCTTCCTTAGTGCTCCAGCTACCCGCCAGTGGATTGATCTAATTCCAGTCCCGTGGAATGAATATCAGAAGTTCGCACACCGCCAACATTAAGAATGGCTTTGATGTCTCTTTGGCAACTGCCCGCATGTATTGACAATCCCCAGCGATGGATTTCGTTGATCCAGTCGATAAGTTGCCCGACACCATACTCATCCGATGCATCCGCACCTACGAGCCTCTTCATAGTGCAACCATTCCATTTACCGTCAGCAATATCGGGCTGAAGAACCCAGAACACGAACTTTGGCCCAACGAATGTTAAGCTATAATGCCGTATGGTTGTCGAGTCACTGCAAACAGTTGGTTTTGCTTTTTTTGCCTCAGAGTGCAAACGATAGCGATTAAAAAGCGCTAGAGAAGCAGCCGCGGTGACCCGTGCAACTGCAACGTCTTCAGATTCACCGTCTCTCTTAAACTCGACGCTGAAATACGGGCAGGTTATCCAATCCCGAACAAACGTACAGTTTTGGATTTGAAATCGATATACAGGGCTAAAGCCCTTCAGAGACAGCCAGTAACTGCAGTCTGGTCGGACGTCCCAGGTCCATTCAACGTGATCGAGCATGCCATCATTCAGTATCGGGGGTTTGCGCCAGTGAGCACTTTCTTTCGGAGGAGACACCAATTCCAACATTCGGTCGGCACGCCACAATCGATCCTCCTGTGTCCCGGACGACCTCCATTCCCGTCGCAGAAGGAAATCCATTGCAAGAGACGCGAACTCGGTCTCGCAGAGATTGTACCCTCTCATCTCTTTATATTCGGCGGCAAGCTTGCTCACGTTGCTGTCTTCCATATCAATCCAGATGTTTGCGCTTCCCAGGTTAGGAAGTGCCTTGTATCCTTCTTCTGGTTTCCTGGTGCCGAAATGAACGAATGGTGTTGGAACGATAGCGTTGGTATAATTAACGAAAATTCGGCGAGGATTCAAAACTAATTCGGCAAATCTCGAGCTGCGAGGAGTAATAGTCCTTGAATGTGTCCAAGTGCTGCCAAGCGTGATTTCGGATTCAGCCGCTTCAGACGCCGTGGTCGATCGCAAAATGGATGAGCTTGTACCGCTGGCCGTGGATCTGGCCATGGTTCCATCGCGTCTCGTTCGCCCGACTTTTTTGTTCCCTCCAGTGGACATTGTGGAAATATTCCCCGTAATAACCCCCCAGAGCTCGTTCGTTGCCTTTGAATCGGTCTCTGGAATTTGGTCTAATGGCGAATACAGTTCTGCGTTCTCAACACGGTCGGTGTGATCGTTGGTTGTAGAGGTCTCTGGTGACATTGTACGAAGTGGTTGCTAAATAGACTGACAATCTTTAATGTCTAGCGAGCTGTAGGAGAAACAAAAGACAAGAAGGTCGGTTGTAATCTTCTTAAACTAGATATTGTTATTGCGTTAGCGTGGAAGACTAGTTAGGGACGCGCTTATTAAGCTATAATGCGGTTACCATGGTAACAGTTACAAATCCCCACATCCACAATACTAACCCACGATTTCACTTGGTTATCCCCTTAATAATCCCCACATCCATAACACTAACCCTAACCACGAGGTTCGCGGTAGTCGGCGCGGGATTCCAGGCGGTGAGCGGGGTTCTACCGTGGTACCGTGGGGGCGAGCGCTTGGGCTACTATATTAGCTACTAGGGCGTGCTAGTTATTAGCTATATAAGCTTACTTAATTAAATAAGCGATAAAAAAATTTTTTTTTTTTTATTAAGATTAAGAGTTACTTAGCTTAAGAGTAAGAGCTCTTTAAAGGTTAAGAGAGAGAAAAAAGAGAGGAGAAAGAGAGAGAGAAGAGAGAAGTAAGGGTTACTTATAAGTTTTATAATTAAGTATAAGTTTATATATAAATATATAAGCGAGTAATAGCTTATATTTTCTTCTCTCTTTTTCTTATAGTTTAATTATAAGAGAAGAGAAAAGAAAAAGAAAGAGAAAAAGAAAGAGAAAGAGAAAGAGAAAGAGAAAGAGAAAGTAATTAACCTATATTTTAACTTAACTTAATTAATTAATTAACTATTATACTTTATTATAAAGGGAAGAAGAGGCTTAATATACTTTATATAAAAGAAAAAAGTATTAATTAATATATTATACTTTTTAAGATTATTATTATAAAAAGAGCTTTATTTTAAAAGCTATAAAGCGTAAAAGAGTATTAATTAGTATATTACGCTTTCTAAGATTATTATTATAGGAAGAGCTTTATCTTAAAAGCTATAAAGTATAAAAGGGTATTAATTAATATATTACGCTTTTTAAGATTATTATTATAAAAAGAGCTTTATCTTAAAAGCTATAAAGTATAAAAGGGTATTAATTAATATATTACGCTTTTTAAGATTACTATTATAAGAGAGAGAGAATTAACTTATAAGAAAAAGCTTTATCTTAAAAGTTATTTTTAATATATCTTTTTTTATTAAGAAACTTAGGGTTGAGGTTAGGTCTATTTTTCTATCTAGACTTTAGTCCTACTAGGTTTTCTAGCTAAATAAGTACTTTTAAAATACATAAAAATAGGAAATAAAGGAAGATAACAGGTGTTAGCAGCTGTTAACGGCTGTCTAGCAGGATATATCAGCTGGTAGTTGATAGCAGCTGTTTTTATAAGTCTCTAGCGGTCTTAAGCTTCTAGTTACGGCGAGCTTCCAGCGGTCTCGGGCTTCCGGCTGCAGCGAGCCTCTAGCGGTCTCGGGCTTTCAGCTGTAGCGGGCCTCAGCAGTCTCGGGCTTCTAGCTGTAGTGGGCTTTCTGGCGAGCTTAAGCTGTTAAAGGCAGCTAGCTGCCAGCTGTTACCAGAGCATTGAAAGTAGTGTAGT